CACGAATACCTGAATGGGCAAACGCGGATGTAGAGGGGGTGCCAGAGGAGGAAGATGCAACAGTACACTCCCAAGTGATTTATCAACTTCCCATATCTCTCAAATTCTGCCTTCACTGCTGCCAACTATTCCACAGCAATTTTTTCTTCACATTCAGACACTATAGCAACATTTGCATTCTTGGGTTTTTCAGACTAACCACCCTTCTTAAAGTTGTTGTTCCAACACCTCTTAGGAAGAAGATCTAGATGAAGCTTCCAACAAGAATCCTTAGTATGTTTCGGCTTCTTGCAATATTCCCATATCACCTCCTTTTTTTCATTTAGCCCCTTTGGTTTTATTCCAACATGTGCAAAATGTTCTAGAGGAGGTGGGGTCTGTAGCTGTACCTGTCGCTTGCTCTCTTCACTGCTCACCATAGAGTATGCCTGTGCAAATGACACTTCATCCTTGGCCAAGATATTATGCCTTGTAATATCAAATTCAAGATTGAGTCCTGTAAGGAACTCAAACACTATGTTTCTTTCCACAAATTTCCTGAAAGTTTCAGCATCTTTGTTGCTTTTCCATACAAATGCTTCCATAACATCTAACTCCTACCATAGTGACTTCAACATCGAATAATAGACAGCCACACTCTTCTCCCCCTGTCTTAAATTCTTCACATCACTCCTTAGTTTGTAGGCCCTTGCAACATTTAATTTCTAAGAGTATGTCTCTGTCACACTATCCCAAATCTCCTTGGCTGAAGTCATCCACAAATCTTATATGGGGCTGCATAGAATTTACCAACCACCCAATAACTATGTAGTTATCCTGTATCCATTTCTCATATGTAGGATCAGTCTCATCTGGCATCGCCTTACTACCCGTTAGAAACCCTAATTTACCTCTACTACGGACATGGATCTTAATAGATTGTGCCCAAGCAAGGTAATTTGTTCCGTCAAGTTTAATTGTAGTCACTCCTGTCAAAAAAGAATCTACAAGACCAACCCCCAACACCAGGATCTGCTTCACCTCACTTCCAGATTGCTCCATCAATCAAACGAAAATCAAAAAACAATGTTTTTAACCTTTATAGACCTAACTTAAGGTCAGTCAAGGACTCAAAAGTCCCAAAACTAGGGTTTCACCGTACTTGGCCTCCGGGGAAAAAGAGAGAAGAGGTATCTGCTCAAACCAGAGCTATCCAAACCACTTCCAACTATAGCCACCCACTTTTGGAGATAAAAAGGAACCCTCCAAGCCTTGAGCGCCACACCCAAACAGCCTCTTCAACCCGTAACTGGAAAATCTCTAGTCGGCTAGGGTTTTGGGCAAAAAATCTGCAGTCCCACTTTCTTGACAATCTTCGGCCAGATTCTGACTCTCCAAACCCTCTACCAACTAGGCAAACAAGATCTCTGAATAATCAGCAATTTATCTCTCCATACACCTTTCAATTAGAAAAAAAAAAAAGTGTATGAGAAAAAAAAAGAAAAAAAGGGGAAAAACAAAAGGGAAACCTGCTCTGATACCAAGATGTGATTCAAACCAATAAAATTAGTAGAATATTTTAGAATAAAGCAAAAGAAATTAGGGAATAAGAAGGAGACAGCAAGAAGAAGAAGGAAGATTGGAGAAGAAAAGAGAAAGAAAGGAGGAGTTCGACAATCTCCTCTTTCTACCACTAATCCTTTTTAATAAACTTGCTTAAGTTACATAATTTACAAGATTGCCCTTAAATAGGCATCCACATCAGCACTATGCTTAGAAAACATAAACAAGAGCTAAAGGCCCAATAAGAAAAAACAAAACAAGAAAGAACCAATTAGAAAGACACAAATGGGCTAGGGCCCATTCGGCCCAGTCTCTCTACAATGAACACGATAGGAACCTTTTCTCCAAAAGACCACTACCAACTGGGCTGAATACTTTCTTCAACCACTCATTTGATTCAGCTCTCCATACACACTATATATGGTAAAAAAAGAATGAAGAAAAAGGAGAAGAAAGGAACCCGCTCTGATACCAAGAAGAAAAACATTCCAAAAGAATAAGAGGACTGATTTAAAAGGTGTGAAAGTAAGGTAGATATCAGCAGCAAAGAGAGAAGAAGAAGAAGAAGAAGAAGAAATCGGCTGTAATAGGGTTTTGGGAGAAGAGTTGTTCGAACATCTCTCCCTTCCCTAATCTTTTCATTAAAAATAATTACAAATTTTCTTTAATTACAAGTAGGCCCTTAATTGGGCAATTAATTTAATTAAACAAGAAACATAAAGGCTCATTAACAAAAAGAAAAGAGACATAAAGAAATCAGAACAGCCTATGGGCCATTCGGCCCATCCTCTCTACAAATATGTTGATTTTCTATACTTTAACATGAACTTTATACTTTTCTTATGAAAATTATGAATAATTATTTATTAAGGAAATATGGTTATGGTACCTAGGGAACTACCCTAGGATCTATGTCTTTTACTTAAATAAATAAATCCATCGCCTAGGCGACAAGGCACCCCCTCTGTCACCTAGCCTCACCTTGGCGCCTTGAAAACTGAGTCCCAGGTATGTGGAAGAGAGTAATAGACTCCCATACCCGAGAATAACAGTTAATTCAACAATATTGAGGACATCCCCCACAGGCAACAACTCATTCTGCTGAAGACTAACTTTTAAGCCAGATACTGCTTCAAAGCATATCAATAAACATCTTAAGAATAGCAAATCAGAACACCTGGCTCAAGAAAAGATGATGGTATCATCTGCAAATGTAGTAATGGTAACTGCATTGCTATCTTCTTTTACTCTGAAGCCTTGAATATGATCACCTTTTGCAGCCTCACTGATCATCATACTTAGTGCCTCTGTCACTATGATAAATAAGAAAGGTGAGAGAAACTACCAAAAAAAACAGAAAGGTGAGAGCAGGTCGCCTTGTCGTAGGCCGCTCCCACTTTCAAAGAAGCCTCTAGAACTACCATTCACTAAATTGAGAATCTGGCTGATGATAGACATGGGTGAATCCACTTCCTGCATTGGACACCAAAGTCCATTGTTTGTAATAAATAGTCTAGGAAGCTCCACTGGACATGGTCATATGCTTTTTCCCTGTCCAATTGACAAATATCACCCCCAGTTCTCCTTGCCTTCTTCTGGAATCAATATTTGCTATCAAAGAGCCACCCAAAATCTGGTGCCCATCTATGAATGCTCCTTGTAATGGAGAGATGATCTTTCCCAGTACCTTCCTGGTTTGGTTGGCCAAAAGTTTTGCTATAAGCTTGTCTATGCTCCCGATCAAATTAATGGGGCTATAATCTTTCAAAGTAACAGCCTTCTTGAATCTTTGGAATTGAAGAGATAAAAGTATTGTTTGCTTCTACAGATATCTTGGACTGGTCATGGAACTCATGAAGGACCAACATGAACTCATCCTTAAGTGGATGCCAGCATTTCTTACAGAATGCCATCAGGAAGCTGTCAGGACCTGGCACCTTCTTCCCTTCTAATTCATTTAAAGCCAGTAGCACTTCAGATTCTTCAAAGTTCCTTTTAAGGATTTTCTTGTCTTCATCAGAGATTCTTTTAAATTCAATACCATCCAATTTTGGCCTAAGGTTTCATGTGCCGAATATAGGTCCTTGTAGAAAGCAACAATCACCCCACCTTATCTAATATTTCCTCAAAGAAAGCAAAGCCTTTTTGTCTTAAACAAAGATAAATTGTATTAATATGTAAGAAAGAAACTGTACCCTACATACAAGAAGATACTGGTAAGAGTGTATGATGCATGTAGATGTATATTGCTATACATCACTATACTATTTGAAAACAATAGAAAAACTAGCATATCTAAGCACTCAGAATTCCTTCAAATGGATGCATTAGAAAAATATTATTAACTGGATCTTCCCTGCTAATGTAGTCATAGACTCCATGGCTTAGATTTCCCTTCAAATATATGCCTGTTCTTGCCCTTCAATATGATGATAACACATCAACAAAAGTAGGTTATACAAGACCAATCCCCTCTGGCTACATACTTTATTTCCATGCTTAGTCATGAATTCATAATTGCAAACACCCTCCATGGAACCCTTCAACTGTGCATTGTTGACTAAAACCCTAATAGAAGTAGGTGAAGGCTGCAATCACTATGAGTTTTACAAGAAAACAATGTCTAGAATTCTTAAAACTAGAAGACCTAAAATAAGGATCCTACCCAACACTTCTATTCATATAAAAGGACATCTCGGAGGGTATATGTAAACCAACTATCTTGAAAACAAGGGATAAAATTCATTGATGAAAGTCAGATTGCATTATTTAGCTAATAATATCTACTAGGAAATTACATCTTTCATGAGAAAATTCCTTATTTATTTAACCTTACCAACAAATTTGCTAGGACCTGAGCTTTCCAATAATTAACATGGCGACAAAAATGCAAACCCAAAATTATCTCATTAATTATCACCTCATACCATTACCAAACAGATACTCTTTTGGAAGCTATCTTGTTAAGTAAAAAAAGAAAAAGAAAAAGGGCAGCCAAGTGCACAAGGGTCCAGCCGATGAGGGGTCTGGTGAGGGACAGATGTGTGCAGCCTTACCCCTACACATACAGACAGGCTGTTGGAAGCTATGCTGTTAGGTATAATGATAGAAATCCATCTTGAAAAGCATATCTAAATACCAAAAGTCCTCCCAAAAATTGCATCTTGTCACCCCCTCCATTCTACATGTTAAAATAACTTGGCAATAATTAACTGTAATAGAAAAAAAAAAAAACATTTTAGCAGGTACAAACAAGAAAAGATCTTGTTAAAAACTCCCAAGCAACTTGTTTCCAACCCCAAGAACTTGATTTAATTGTTCTGAAAAAAAAAATAAGAGTAATCATATTGTGAGAAAATATGGTGTACCCAAATATGCCATGTCAAACAAGGCCATCAATCCACCAGTGACACAAATTAGCTCAAGAACCAAAACAGGATGAAGAAAGGAGGACATACTTCATCATGCAAATCCCTCAAAAACTTGACAAATGTTTCATGTTGGAGACATGACTTTCCATCCTTGCCGAAGAATTTCGGCAATAGACCTCCATTTTCAACAGGCTTCCCAATTTTGAGCCCTGTTCGTAGTCCATCCCTATGATGAGACCCTTGTCTGTTGTGAGCCCGCATTAGAGCCATGACTTTCTTAAACTCCTCCCTGTCAACCTCTCTGTCAATGGATGTAACATATCAACACCAAGAGCATTAACAAAATTGAGTACAAGGAAACTGCTAGATATAGAAACAAATAAAAACCATCTTCACAACTCAGAAAGAAATGATTAGACACCTTTCAACAAGTAATCAAGACATTCTTTTAACAGACAAGCATAGAGATACAGAAAAAGGTTCTAAGACAAAAAAGAAATTTACAGTACACACCCCTCTACAGTCTACATGCAAAACATTGTGCGAATTAAAAACAAATTCTCTGAAATTGAGACCCTTTTAATTCAAAGACATTAGATGAAATTCATATCATATCCACTGGTTTGGGAATTCATCAAGAGGCACATGTGTGTCAGAGGCTTTTACTATTCTATCATGTAAGTCATTAAAGAACTAGTTCCACACCATGGAACCAGCTAGCTTAAGTGTTTCATTGAATCTATGCCTGGTAGTAGTCATTTTTTGAAATAAATTCATGTGTAAGAGTTCCAGTAGGGCTACCAAACACAGTAAACTTTTATAATTGCATCATACAGTTATTGATATTAATAATGGCCTATGACATCTAAGTGCAATATACGTGGCCAGACTAACAGCATCCATAGGGATATGGCATAGATACCAAGTATATAATTTCAAACTACCCCTCTACTCCATATTTGATGAAGCATGAGAAAGATATTACATTGAAGATGAAACATTTTCAAAGCATGAGATACATACCCATTGTTGTCAAGGTCAAACATTTTGAATGCCACTGAGAAGCTTGATTCTGGGATGCTGAGCAGTGTAACTAAAAAGATGTACCTGTTCTAGTAAATAATAAATGGATTGGTCCTGAAACATCTCTAGAAAGACAAAAACTTGATAATATAGGACCAAGAAATTTGATTGGAAGCAGTCCGATGGGAAAATTGAAACCCTATTTATCTAATATTTGCAATACAGAAGTCACAGATGGGCAACTCACTCTGCAAAAGATATAAGTCCATCACTATTAGTATCAAAAAGCATAAAGAATTTTGAAGGAGCACAGTGCAGCTCGCCAGGACTTCGCTCCCCTCGCAAAAACCCTTCTCTAACAAGATTTGATTCGGATGGAGGAAATACAGGAACAACTGCCCGCATCAAGTCCGCTGGTGTCATAAAAACCTCTCCATCTGGAGTGTGGAAAGATGCGAAGTACTCAAAAACCTGGAAAAATACAAGGTGGAAGAGATGTATCAATAAGGCAGGCATAAGCAAAACACTACTAGAAGGCTTTACTTATCATTTTTTTTAATCAGTAACCACTTGGAAAAAAGGCTAGTGCCAAGTTCCTTGGATATTTTTTCACCAAAAAAAAAGTTCCTTGGATATATAGGCCTGTTTTCAGGGAAATAGGTCTCGCAAGGGAGTTAGAAACCTCCTATAATTGGGTTAGAAGAACTGTAAATGGGAAGGAAGATTCATTAGAAAAACAGGGGGTTAATAGGCATCAGCTTTTTTGGGCATTAGTGTAAATCTTTTGTATCTTGGGCTGTTGGAATATCCCAAGCTATTGTACTAAACTTTCTTCATATATGTTTTTGTTGTAATATGACATTCTGAAATGTTTTGTATGATCAAAGTGCAATATGAAATATGAACATCACTAGGGAGGGTTAAAGGGACTTCGGGAATTTCCAGCACACAAATTTATATGGATGTCTACATTGACTATTGCATTGGAACATGATTATAGAAGTATTGCACTGTTTTTTGAACTTATGATGACCAGAATCCTCTCAAAAGTATCACTAAATTCTTATCTTTATTGTCCATCTGCTTGCCACATGTGAAGTCATTTTTTTCTCACTAGTATGTAGACAATGGAATGCACCACTAAACATTATAGGTCTCTTCTCACAAGATGTTTTGAGATGTCACACTAAAGAATGAAGTTGTTATGGTACAGTACAAGAGCTGCTATTCTGTTGAGAATATGGGGGGAAAGAAATTTAAGGTTGTTTGGAAATAAGGAAATTAAGGTAGACACATAATTGAGCTGATCAAAGTGAAAAATACGCACAGTGATAGTGTGTAAGGAATTTCAAGGCATCAAAATGGATGACCTGATATGGGGATGGTATGTTGTGTCTAATGTATCAAATTGGAAGTCTTTGGTTGCTATAAATTGGCTACCTCCAGAAGCTGGAAGGAAATGATCGTTGCTGTTTAGACAACCCAGGTGATTCAGAAGTGGGAGAGGTAGTATGGGATAAAGAAGAAAAATTCTGCTAAATTTTTCAGGGACTGTGGGCATTGATAATTTCTAGAAAACAGAAATATGGTGGCTATTCAAGGCCTCAAATTGCTAGCACTTCAGTATTAGAGGGATGTGGTGATAGAGGGAGAAGGGCAAGTTGATATATCATAGCTCAACAGCGAGGAAACTCCTTGGGGTATGCCGCATCCTTGGGTTGATCTGTACCTTTATATGTGTCTATTGTATGGACAGCTCAAGACTAGTTCTGTACTGTTCCTACTGTTTATCTGAACAGCTAGGGCCTTTTGCATGGTTTTCAGTGCTATATATCTCACTTAATTATCAAAAAAAAATACTGAACAAATAAAATCAATTCAACCATCAAAACTCTTTGTTAGCCCTATAAAATAGGGGCTCTGTACATGAATCCTTTTCTTCTCTAAGTAGTGTATATTCTTGCCATACTTGTCAAGGCATTGCCTAGGTGACTAGGTGCCCTTGGTTGGGTGCCTTACCAAAACACCTTGATTTATAACAACAAGACACCTTTCTAGGCAACAAGGGCCACACGGAAACCATCTAGGCAACATAAATGATAAAGCAGGCACCTTATTATATCATTCATGTAACTAAACCTTACTAATGTGTGTGTGTTATGTGCTTTAGGAGAACTCACCCCTAAAAGCTAGCTGTTAGAGGGAGGGAACCCAAACACATATATACCCCACAACAACATCCCATAGTACCGATGTGGGATACCTCACATTAGCATCCCATACTACCAACATGTGATAAATGGATTGTAACAGTGTGTATTGTTGATAATGAACTGGTATATATTATTAACCAAGTAAAAATACACTGCATAGACAACTAGGAAAAACAGGCCAACAGTTACAAAGCAACTCCCCAAACAAGGAGTACAACTTTCAGTGGTAGAAGCCATCCTGTACATAGAAGCCATCCCACTAATGATGTCATAGAAGCCCCTAACCATAACATAAGTGGTAGAAGCCATCCTGTACAGAGCAAGAAAAGCATAACTTTGATCATTAAAAAACATTCAGCATTAATTCATGAAATTCTTTATGTAAATGCTGATGACTTTATATATGGTTTGTTGTCTTGACTGCATTCAGTCCCTAGACTGAAGGTTGCTTTGATACTAACCTGAACTTTAAGAAAGAGATGTAAGTTATCCCATCTTTTGTTTCTTACTAAAGAATGGAACTAAAATATCTAAGAAACTAAGAAAGTCTAAGAAAGCAACAGAAGACTAATAAATAATCCCAAGAAAGTTACTCATCAAATATCCAACATCAAAAATCTGTGCCCAAGAAAAAAATGGAATAGATCAGTTTAGGAGGGGATAGATTATACACAGTAAAAGTTATGAGCGAAGAGTAGATTAGATCAAATCTAAGAATCTTTGTTACTTTTTGCTAAATGATCAAACATAACTAACAATTATATGGGAAAAATAACAATTTATACGAAAAGGCCATTTAAATGTACCAAGTACGAACAAGATAAAATATAAACATTTCAGGCTTCTTTTTTCTTTGAGAAAGGATAACTGGTTGTATTTCCTTTCAGGCTTATATTCACATAATATAAAATGCAAAAGTTCTTGCATGGTCATATAATTGAAATTCTATGAAGTTGTTACCTTTTCAGGTGGAGCAGTCATCCTTAAGCGCTTTTCATAGTTAAAGAAAACTTTCCTTCTATATGCCTCTGCACAACAAACAAGACCAGTAAATAACAAATAAGGCATTGGTATTAACAAAACCTATGGATACCATGACTTCAAACAATCTGATGTAATACAAAACAACTCATTCCTCCCAACCCCTCCCCTGATGAGATTATCAGCTAAGGAACAATCACACCAACAGAGCAATCAGCCAACCAATTTCAATTATTGATTTAGTACATAATGCAAGCGGCTAGTATCAACTAGTAGCCATGACAACTAATGTTATTAAAAATATTAAAAAAAGCAATTTTTATGTCATTCAAAACTTCGAAAATAGACCCAGCGTCAGGTTGATGATGATGCTATCTGTAATTGGATTCCAACAGTTTCAAGGAGAAGCATCATTCAATTATAAGCGTAACAATTTTCCAACCCTAATAAGAAGGTTCTGGAAAGAACTCCTGCTTTCAATAATCCATCACTGCTATGATTTCAAAACTCCCCACTCAATTTACCGAACTGATTAAATGCAGAAGTTACTAACTTCGAACATATTACAACAGCGGTAGGCATGCCCACATTGAAAAAGAACTACATCTGAACATAAAACAGTCGGAAAGTGGAAAATTTAGAAGAAAACAAAATACCTCCAAAAAGAAACTTGGGGTTCTTCTCTTTCCCCCCATCATGGAAAGTCTCTGGGTGCCGCTTGTCCTCCGAAGCCACTGTTGGTGAAAAATCAGCTAAAGAGACTGACGAATTTCCAGCAGCAGCAGAAGAAGACCACAACCAAAATCCTAGACCCGAGCCCACAACGATCCCTGAAAGAGACTTCAAGAACAAACTGAAAACAAAGTCCCTTCGTTTATCATCGTTAATGGTCGACTTAGTAAGCAAGCTCGCCGGTACAGAAGAAGAAGAAGAAGATGAAGATGAAGAAGTAGTAGTAGCAGCAGTTGAACCTCCTGCTTGATTAAAAAATGGACGCAAGTTCAACCATTGGGTTCCGGCTACTCTGCAGATTGACAGTGCAGATCTCGTCAGAGATGCGCGGGAATACATAGTATGATTCGCCTGAAACACACGGATAGAGCAAGCAAGAAGGATCGTCGAGAGAGAAGGATAAAAACTAGAGTAAAAAAGAAAGCACGCGAGTGAGGACAGAATAGAGACACCGGACGACGGGAGGAGATTAGAAATTAGAACCAGAAAAAGGGTAGTTCAGGTTACTAAACAAACTTAGCTTCACGTCCAGCCAAACATGCGAGAAAATCTAATTCCGACTCCCAAGTGTTTCTCTTTATCTCCAACTACTCTCTCTCTCTCTCTCTCGTCATCTGGTTCTTTATTTGGACGGTTAATTAGTTGGTTGACTGTAAATCCAAAGGCGACACCGGGTCACCGGCTCACCGCCCATTGTTTCCATTCCACCTCTTGTGCAAACCTGGAAAGTGCCGTGCCGTAGGCAGCTAGATCCGTAGATGTATAATGTGGGCCGACCATACTGTAGCGAGCCGTATCGGGCCAACACGCGGGCTGGGCGGGCCGTGTCTGCTTGGCCCGGAATCCCTCAAAACTCAAAAGGGAAGTCTGGACCTCTGGTACAGCCCGCAGCATGAGCCCAGGCAGGACAGTGTCATTTCGAGCCGGACCAGGTGGTGGGTGCATCCTTGGCAAGATTTTTTTAGAAAATTTGAAAAATATAATGAAAAAGTTGCAACAAATTAACAAGATATATTATATATAAAAAATATTAAAATTTTATTCATATAATGCAAGTTTGAGTCTAGGCCACAAGTTGTGCCAATGCAGCCCACTTTATTGTATCGGTTAATAAGCTTAAAAACCCAAGCCCAGTACAGCCCAGTACAAGCCTGACCCAAAATTTAATTAGACTCAGATCAGATTCAAATTTAACTATGTTCCATTATTATCTTTAAAATAAAGAAAAAATTAAAAAATAATTATTTTTAATTTATACATATGCAAAATTGTATATAAATATAATCATGTATAATATTTATACACATTGTTATATTGCATACATTTGGATTTTCGCTTTTATCGTATTGGATGGGGTTAAACTAAATCAAGGATCATGTCTTTAGAGTCCATTGACCTTTATATCTATATCTATATTATTATAAAAATAAATACTTGTATTGGTTTTAGTGTAGATCATAAAAGTTAAATTTGACAGCATATTCCTTACTATCTTTACGTTTTAATTGCATAAATTGCATACTACATCCCCTCACACTAGTATACTTAAAGAGTCTTCTTAAGAACCCCGTATTTTATTATGGAGATTTCATTCCCAATATGTCTCTATTGAGCTAACCAATTTACAGCATCATTGCCCTAGCTCCAAATGTACAAATAACTGATATATTTTTTGTACAAGTACAAATAATTGATATTTAGTCATTAAGCAAACAATCTACATTCTCTCAATAGTGTCTTGCACGTCCATGATTGTTCATCTTTTCCGTGGAGGCACCTAGGGTCTATTTGGTTTGCAGTGGGAATTGGAATAGTAACTAAAATTCTTCGGAATCGAAATCAGAATGGTTTATTCTTATAGTCTGTTTGGTTGAGACAAGAATAGGAATGAAAATTGGAATTAGTAGGAATAGGATTTCATTCTAATGGAAGAGGCAAAAAATGACCATTCCCTCAAATGGGGGATGCTATTCTAGCAGAAATAGAAATGGGGTTCTAATTCCATCCAACCAAACAGTTGGAACCAAAATGGTCCCTTCCGATTCTGGTTTCAGACCCCTAATCCCGTAAACCAAACGGGACCTTAATAACCAACTTCAGTTCTTCCTCTATCCTTTCCTACCCTAGGCAATCAATCATCAATCTAGGAAGCTTTTAGGAAACCCAGATAAGTCAAGAAACTATGCCAATCCAATATTACATTGGGTTGAAAGTCCATCCAGTTTGGTCAAGGACTCAGGGTTAATGTTAGGGTTAGGTTTATTATTATTTTTTTTTCATTTTTCTAAGCAAAATAAAAAACACTAGTACAAAGAAGAAATAAATTGTTCAATACAAGCAGGGGGGTTGTTTCAAGTAAAAGACAAGCCAACAGAACCTTTAACCACCTGAGGTATACAGTGAGCAACCCTGTTTAAAGATCTAGGAACAAAATTAAACTTAACATTTTCAAAAGAAAGTTTCAAAGTAGCTATATCATCAATCCAGTTAAAGACCATCCAAGGGAGAGGAGAACCAGAGTCTACAAATTAGTAACTTCTTCCCATCAGAGCAGTGAGTTCCAATGATCAGATTTCGCTATCTCCAAAGTTATTTTATACCAAAAATATCAACAACTAAGGGGCTATCAAAACCACAAAGTTTCCCATTTGCAACTAACAAAAAGGACTTATTCAGATCAAAAACACGTAGACCTAAAGAAACACCCCGTCCCTTAATTACTTCCCCGTCAGATTTGATAATAACATCAAGATTACCCAAAGATGAGCAGATCCCATTATCAATTGGAAAAACATTAGGGATTTGAGAACTTATATCCAGCTCATTAACACAAACATTTAGCTCAATCAGAATTTTCCTAACAAAAGATAACACACCCTATGCACAGATCTTCAAGCAGTATTAAAAACTAAATCATTCCTCGCCATTCATAAGTAATAAAGAGATAAGCTATCAACCAAATTTAATAGAAAATCTAGCAATAAAATGAATTCCTTGTTACTAATCAATGATCATGTAGATGAGAGGTTTGTGATGGTATGTCTAGTTCCAATTTTAAGTGGGTGAAAATTATTCAAGAAGCTAGGTTTGTATTGTATCCATTCTTTAGAAGGCCTTGGTTAGAAAATGATTAGGGCAAAATTCTTAAACTACCCTTACTGTTTAATTAATTGACTAACTCTACTCTTACTACTTAATTATTGTCTTTGAGTACCCCAAAGTTTTCTGATGATTGTCTAATGCCTCTTTATCATTAATGAAAAAAATTATTTTATCTATCATTTTCTTTTAAATTTTCACAATACTTCATCCGTATTCCTGTGTATTTCAGAGCAATACCACAGCACAACGGAGATGCGCTGTGGGACATTGTGAGGCGCAGTCTTGTTGGGGGCTGATTTGATCTCTGTGTAGATGGAGAAGGTGATTTTCAACAGCTTGACTTCTTCTGAAGGTGTGCCAGACATAATAGAACAAGTCTTTCTAGATCTTCATTTCATCTCCGGATTTTTTTTCCCACGTGGTAACTCTATACTATTGTGTAGATCTTCATTTCCCCTTTTCTGTTTCTCTTTTTGTTTCCCTGTCTAGACTTTGGATCGAGGTTGAAGAAGAAGAAGAAGAAGAACTGAACAAGGTAGGCACAATTCAGTGAAGGTGTTTCTTCGACAAGGTCTCTACTACCTCTTTCCGATCTTCACATATTACAATTTCCTCTTTCACTCTCTCCACCGGAACACCTATTTCATCGCAACTCTAGCCTTTGTCATTCCTCTCTCTCTCTCCACCCGAACACCTATCTCGTTTCATTGCATCTCTAGCCTCTATCGTTCCTCTTCTTCTTCTTCTTCTTCTTCTTCTTCTTCTTCTTCTTCTCTCTCTCTTTTTCTCTTCGTAGCTATCACATCGTTTACACACGATTATTTCCTTCTCTTTCTCATTAATTTAGCTAGGTTGTATTTGTAGCTCTAGACATATGTGAATTTGTTTTGTATTTGGTAATTGACTAATATTGTTCTAGATTAATAGTGAAGTTTTATCTTGTTTTTCTAGATTTAAAACTTCTCACCAAAGGGTTTGTGCTATTTATTGGAAATGAGTCTAAGATCTTGTGCTCGCTCTACTTTCTTTATGTTTTGGCTTTCAATTTCTTTACCCAGCTTTTAAGTAGTACAACTCTTGTTTATGGTATTAATACAGTCTTAGGGCAGGTTTTTTGATTAGGACTGGCATTTTCGATTTATGGGTTGAAATGAGTATGTGAGTTATTTAAATGAGGTATAACTATTGGACCGAGTGGCCTATAGCCCTCGATATCATCCTCAATATATAGGACTATCCGTAGGCCAATGGGAATAACCACACTATCGATGGAGTATTTGCTCTACATGGACCAACATGCACACACAATCAACACCTTTTCTCTAATTATTATTATTATTATTATTATTATTTTCTTATAAAAAATTTGTTTTAACTTATCTCTTTTAAACTTGGTCCACCAGAGTAGTTATTGGTTGAGAAAATGTCTCAACAAGCACGAGCAAGTGCCTCATCCTAGTGGAGACTAATCCCAACTATTTTGAGAGATTTATGGGCAGTTCCTATCCATTGGAATAAATCCAACAATCATAAAAGGGTCTATAAATGGAACCCAAAATAGTGAGGAATATACTTGAACTAGTGAGAACATATTTCCTTCTTAGCATAACACTATTTCTTAATCTCTCTTATTTGGATTATTATTAATTTTTAGTTGTGGTTGAACATTAGCATACATTCCTGAGATATCGCGAACACCACCACGCAAGTCTTTCAATGGTATCAAAGCTAACTTCAAAACTCATTTGGCACGGTGGAGAGGATACATAGAGCACTGTGGAAAATAATTTTTTGTCTTTTTCTTTCCAAACCAAGTGTGATTGTTCCACTCCCATTTTTTCCTCCTTTGTTTTGAAATTTGTGATTTGGTTGTTGCTCATGTACTTCAGCCAAATCATTCTCATTGGAATATTATTTAATTTCCATTATTTGAATATGAAAATTATGGGTGCATGCTTGTTTAAACATCAAATATCCTTTTAAAGATAAAGTAGAGTGTGATCATCTATCCATTTAAATTTGGATTGTTCTTGAGTAACCTCTATAATGGTTATGTTCAAAAGAACGATTTGGTTGACTGGGCCTTAACTACTTGCTTCAATTTGATCTCCTATGGTGTCTTCTACACAAAAGCCTTAAGGCTATGTTTGATTTGAAGGAAAAGGTAGGGAAAGGAAAGGAAATATAGGGAAACCTATACAAGATTTGTAAAAGTTTCCTTACATTTCCCTTCTTTTCCCTACTTTTTTCTTCAAATCAAACACAGCCTAAAGGTTTCTTTTTTCTTTTTCTTTTGACTTTCCAAAGTAATATAGCTAATTAGATTTTAATTAGGAATTAAAAATAAAAAGAAAATTCTTGAGTTGATCAAAACTTTGTGAGAATATATTTATTCTTCCACTAAGTTGTTATCTATTTCATTCACATTGAAATTTATAACATTCTTTCGGCTAAAAAAAATTGTTGCAAATGAACCATGCCTTTTAGTGTTTGGGTTGTTGATAAGCTACAAATAGCTATTTACGAAAGTGTTTTTAGTGAATTATTTAACCTCCTCTTATTTTGGGAAATTACTCTCCCAATTATAGTG